TTTCTAAGTTTCTCTATGAGACATTCTCAAATATTTTGTTCTTAATCTCCAGTCTAAATGACTGATCTACTAATTTAGCAAATAAGTCATTAATAAATATGTAGAACATACATTCACAAATGTAGTTGACAATGCCTCTAATGATAACATATTTATTTTAAATAATTAGGAGTCGACATCTTATCTTTATAGTCAGGGATATAGATTCGAATCCCGCAGTTGTGCGAAGATTTTTAATCTTATTTTATGTTTTATGTAACACGTGTGTCGTTCGTGGTGAACAGTCAACGGCGTATGTTGCCGCATGTCACAAAGCTTAATTGTATAACGCGGTTGCTAACAACTATTGATTTGAAACAGAAGCTGTCGTTTAGAAAGAAATATTTATTCTCAACTCAATAATTCGTTACTTACATTTATGAGGGTACAATAATGTTACACAAAATTACACTTCTATATTAGTTGCCTCAGCATATCTGTGACAGCTTACTGTTACAGTCCTGATATTCTGTGTAGACCATGAGTGACCACAATAATGGCTGACCATGGTTAGCAATAATAATTATTCTCATCGAGTAAAACTTAATGTCTATGTATGGCGAGATTTTTAGAGGAATTTCTTACCAAGAAAATTTACAGAGGTTTTCCAGAAAGGTTATATATAACCGTTGTGGTTTTGATTTTTATTTGGTAGTATGGTACCCGTTTAACATCAGATGGGTTGTATGCTTTTTTTAATTAGTAACTCGAATCGAAAATGTATTGTAATCTGTTTCAATTAAAAATCGTTAGCAACAGCGTTACATAATCAAGCAGCTGTAGCCTGTTGGAGTGTTAATAGCTGCTTACTATATTTTTTGACAAACACTGATTAAAAAGATAAACCATGATAACTTTGTTTCATTTATTATTAACAACTTAAAATATACATAAACAAAAATACAAAAGTCGTTAAACAAAAATAATACAAAACAATTTTTGACTAGGATACAAAATTCGTGATGTTTTAGTTACCAATTAATTCAATAAATTTAGTTGCCTAATAAAAAATTTAAATAATAATATATCAATACATTTCACACAGTGCCGTCTAGTCCCAAGCTAAACAGCTTGTGTTATGGGTACTAGACAACTGATATAAATACATGTTTGTATACAGTGATCATACTGTTCACTACACATTTTTGCTACACATATATACATACACTTTTTTTTTAAAAGTACAACTTAGTGGTCAATAAATGCTGCAAATTAACATAATAGTAAACATAATAATACATATTTTTTAATAATAATCACAGCGGCAAATCTCATACATTAAAAGCTAGAATGAAAACTTATTAGGTGGGTTAACTATAATTTCAGACACTAACTGAATAATAATACACATACTCATACATACGTATGTATTATGTGCATATACTATATATATACTATATGATATCGTCGGTTAAATAGAAAAGTTGCAGTATTCAAAATGTACATTTTGTCTTATTTAAAATTTATAAATTTATTTAAGTTATTATATATCACTTTAAAAGTATGTAGATAATGATTAAGACGGCGTGGTTAATTTAATTGACTTATATAAAAGGAGGCAATTCTAGCTTCTGATTTTGAAATATGACATTTTTCTATTTAATCGACGATATATTACACTATACATATTTTCGTAAGCTAACATGAATATTATTTTTTTATTAAGTCATACCTCATAAAATGGACAAAACGTACAAATTATGGGTATTAAGACCCGACTCGAGTTTACATTAAGTCGTAACTTATAAAAAAAGGACAAAGGACGAAACTGTTAAATGTTTATATTTACCGTTTTTCTATAGTAACGGAAGTATATATTTCATATAGCGTTTGATAGTTAACTACAAATATCTGCTACATTTTACTTAATTAATGAGAATATAAGTTATTAATCTCACACAATATTTGTGACAAACCGACAACAGGTTGGTTTAAAACCATAATAATATACGCCCTGTTTTTTAAACATAAGGGACAAACGAGCTGTCTTTACACTTGAAGGTAAGTGATTACCGCCGCCTATAAGCACCCGCAGCACCAGGGAAATGGGGAGAAGGAGACAGTAATGGTGTCTAGTGTCCCCATTGTTAGCAATGTACCATGTTAGGTCGACCTCCACACGGTTCCCCCTGGAAACCATGGTTATAAATTCATGGTGAATTTACCACGATGGGCTAACTGACCTGACCTCATGCAACATCTTACCATCCTCCACTGGTGCTCCGCCAGCGTAAACCATTAGCGTAGACTAGGGCACAATTCCATTATCATCCTCTAAAAAAAACAACAGGAGAATGGGACGAAGGGGAGTGTTAGCAATGGAGTCTAGTGTCCCCATTGCTAGCAATGTACCATGTTAGGTCGACCTGCACACGGTTCTCCCTGGAAACCATCGAAAAAATTCATGGTGAATTTACCACGATGGGGTAAATGACCTCATGCAATATCTTACCATCCTCCACTGGTGCCCCTCCAGCGTAAACCATTAGCGCAGGCAGGTGTACTATTCCATTATCATCTATAAAAAACACTAGGGGAAATACAAGTGCGTTGCTGGCCTTTTAATAATTAACAAGCTCGTTAAACGGCCATAATATCTCGTTATAGTAAAAGGTACAACCCGAAAGCCAGGTAGAATACTCCTGAAAAGTGCCGGTTTTACCACTACCAGCGTCCTGAGCGAGTTCATACGACGCCCCCTGCCTTATCTTACTCACGCCTACTAACTGCAAACCCGTTCGAAAAACTGGCCACGCACGAATTGGATTTGCACTCGAAAGGTTCCGTACCAGCAAACGTAAAACATTTTAAAGTACCTACTTACTTTATAGGAGGCGATTCGATTCCATTATATTATTTAGGCGAATTCGATTATATTATCGAGGTAAGCAAATATTCATATTAGACCCCCTATTTTGTTTTTAAGGTTTTATCACAAATGTTCAGTTGTCAGATTTATTTCTGTACTTATGATCTATTACGATGTTACTTGCCAAACCTCATAGTTTTAGGCCACAACGTTCTAGACTGTGCCCGGCGCCCTACCCTAATCCCGCTAGTGCTCCTGAAATTGGATCAACTTAAAAAAATCAAATGTAATTCTAAATAACGTGTATTAAGTTACAGTTTCTGTAATAAAAGATTTCTGATCGACTGAATCTTAATAAACGCGAAAAATTGTGAGCACGGATGTTTGTTACCCTTTTACGCGAAATATTTTAGTACAGAAACACTGCTGGCCTTGAGCTTAGTGCAGAGATTATTGTAAAACATTACATCTATATTCAATAATGTAACAGTATACATATAAATAAATATTTTTTTCATACTAAACTGACCACAGACTTCGCAGTGATTCATTTAATAAATTGCGTGAGTGATTCATTTACCACTTCATGTGTATTCTACCCGGCTTTATATACATATACAACCGACTGTATATAGAAAAAAAAACTATAAACATATAACAAAAAAACACTTGTATTTTTGGATTGAAGAAACTGACGAAGATATTTGAATTGAGAATGTATAGAAAAAAAACTAAAACTATTTTTTTTTATTCACGGTTTTTTAACTATAGTTAAGACCTGTAGCACTGCGACCTAGATAGATCTATCTTGCTCGCTCTAAAAGTATCCTATATACATATGAAATACACTAATATAATCACAGTTATAGTGGATTATGACAGTTTACCGTCTTACTTCAATAATAGCCTCTATGGGGTTTATTTCATCCGCGTTTACACAGACCATAGTTATACATACAATATAATACCAAATGACCATTTACCGTCCGGAAAAAAATACATACATTCTAAAATTATATATATATACTAGCTCACCACGCGAATTTGGAATTTAACTTTATTTTTCTAAAATAAAAGTAGCCTAAGTTACTCCTTATTACATCAGCTACCTGCCAAAAAAAGTCCCGTCAAAATCGATGCAGCCATTTCAGAGATGAGCCGGAACAAACAGACCGACAGACAAAATTGTAAAAAATGTTTTTTTGGTGTATGTACCGTATTTATTCATATGGATATAGTAAAAACGGTAATTTTTATATGACAAACAGACACTATTCACTATTTTCTTTAATTCCGCTACATTAGCATGTGTGAGAACAGAAGCATTCCGACCTTTTCTATTGGTGATCAAACTCCGACCATCACTTGATCTACACCCGTATTGCGACACGCGTTTCACCTCTGGACGAGACATCATCAGCCATTGAATAGAGTTCGGATATAACATTGAAGCCTAGTAGTTTGGTTGACTCGGCGACCAAACTGCGACTTCTTAGAGTCGAATTAAGGTATATATAATATTTTTACTTTATATACCGTATGACGTAATTCTCTCCGGACGGAAAGTCATTTCCTATATCATAAAATCAAAATCGAGACAACTATACATATTATTTAACTCCATAAGCTGCTTTTACCATACGCTCTTTCACGCTTTAATCTGCTTTCACGCAGAGAGAATGTGAAAATGTAGTCAAAGAGAACGAGAAAGACCGCGCGAGTAAACAGTGAGCGCTTTCCCGCGTCCTTCAATCGTGCGTCACATAGCGCCATTTTGTAATAATTATCATTGCAAAATGGCGGATCCGTCTATGGAGCGAAGACATAAATATAGGTACATTGGTAATTTAAAAACCATACACTAGTCTTTGGAATAGAAGATATGTGGAATAAAAAATATAATTTTAAATGAAAGTGAAATGACATGAAACATACGCACAAACACGCGCAGAAGAATGAACACAATAAATAGTAAAATGCAATCACTCACGATTGCGCGCAGTGAACGTACTCTCGCGTCTTTTTATCGTGCGTCATTTGGCGCCATTTTGTAAACATTAATTATCATTACAAAATGGCGGTCACCTGTCTATGGAGCAAATACATAATTATAGATTTAATGATAATTTAAAAAACTTAAACTAGTCTTTGGAAAATAAAATCAGTTGGATAAAAAATCCAATTTTTAATGAAAGTGTAATGATATGAAACATAGTAAAATGCAATCCCTCACAATTGCGCGCGCGCACGGGAAGGACCGTGCTAAATCGCGTACGCTCCTGATCGCGCGTGAAAGAACGTATCGTGTAAAAGCAACTATAATACCATTTCACTTAAAAATGCGACAAAACTAGTCAACACAATTATAGTTACACTAAATATATGTTCTTAGAAGCAACAATATCCTCACTAACTCACGGTGGAAGTTGACTGCATCCTGTGGATGGATAACACTGTAAACTTGATAGTTTCAGCCTCTACTAGTGTCTGAGTATCATCTGGCAGTAGAGGAAGCTGTCCAATACTGAAAATAAATAGATATTTAATAAAATAAGCGTTTTTTTTCGGATTGCTCTAACGGTTATTCTGTTGCTCGCAGCTGGCCTTTACAGCTTCACTGGATGATAAAGGGAGAGTGCAGATGGCACTTCAAACCCACGGAAGGACTTATGGAGCGGTTAATGGCGAACTCCCGCCTGACGCAAGAGGTTCGAACCTCGGCTCAGGCCGTGGTAATTTCGATCCCCGCTTGAATTGGACGGGGATCGATCGAAGGGGAAATATGCATGCATGCATATTGATTGAGGCTTTCAGGGTTGTATGGTGTGAGATAAAATCTTGATGGAAAACCATTTCATTCCGTAAAATACACAAAACCGAACGGCCAACTTTATGTCGGCCAAATTGCGTGACTAACTGCAGAGAACATACTATTTATACTATTAGTACAGTTGACATAAACTCATCTTGGCATGAACTGACCTAACCTCCATCGTCCATTCCCATCTCATAATTCTCCACTGGTGCCCCGGCAGCGTAAACCGTTAGCGCAGGCGGGTGTACCATTCCAATATCCAGAAAAAAATAAAAATAGATAAAATATGCTTAGGTAACATCCAGACCGACAAACAATCATACTCCTGAATATAAATGTTTGTACCGTGCGAGGAATCGAACCCACAACCATCGGATTGTAAAGCAGTGTGCTGAACTACTAGACCACCGAGGCCATAAATGCCTAAAACAATGATTCTCAATATTTTTTGTTGCGGCACACTTTAACAACTTTTGGCGGCACATAAAGAAAAAAATGAAACGTATGATAATAATTTGAAATGTACGAAATAAAATAATGTGTACTAAAAAAAATAACAGTCCGTTTAATAAAGGATGAATTATAGATTAATAATTATATATCTAAAAATTGCCGAATTAAATTAACTTAGAATTTCGTGGCACACAAAAGTGCCGCGGCACAATGGTTGAGAATCACTGCTCTAAAATAATGTTTTAAAATTGATACTAACGATACTGCGCAGCGCTGATCAGCAACTCATACAACTGCACCGGCCCTTTCCCCTTCAGCACAATCTCGCATATGAACACATATATCACCCTGCTGGTCTCGAAGAGCGAGTCCAGTAGCAGCCAGGTGGTGATGTTCCGGCCTGCGTTGTGTGCCGCACTCCGGTTGATCACCACGCAGCTGTTCAGGAAGCCTATTGCGCTCGTCATCACCATTAGTCCAGATATGAAGTAATGGACCACTGTGAATGATATAGATAAGATAGACATAGACAGAGAGAGAGAGAGACATTGATATTTTTTTTTTAGTGGATGATAATGTAATGGTGCACCCGCTTGCCCTAACGGTATACGCTGGCGGGGCACCAGTGGAGGATGATAAGGTGAACATGAAGTCAGATCAGTTAGCCCAACGTGGCAAATTCACCAGGAATTTATCACGATGCTTTCCAGGGGGAAACGCGTGGAGGTAGACCTGACATGGTACATTGCTAGCAATGAGATCATTAGTCCACATTACTAACAGACACTCCCGTCAGACAATGATATAAATACAGAGTTTTGTAATGTGTAATGTAAGTTGGACTCCATTCCCAGCAATTATCCTCTCATTCGGGCCGTTGTGCGTGTAAAGCCAGACTGCGCGAAAGCGCAGAAATCTGGTGTCTTCACAGGCTTCAAGGAGGCAAGAGACTTCGGAACAGAATGTGTTCCCTCTAATATCGTTGAGTATAATGATAGCTGTTTCATTCGTCATACTCGTGAACGAATAACGAACTTGTGAGGATAGGTCTGTTCGGGTTACGAACACTGATTAGACTATATCAAATTCAAAAATAATTTATTCATGTAGGGATTTTAGCCGCTTATGAAAGTCAAATTTTTTATATTATATTTTTTTCCCTACTGTTTCCTTTTGAGAATATTGCAATAGCTTATACTGGTATTATGTGGTCACACTATTCTCCCTAATTTAAAAATGAATCTGTATTTTTGTAAACATGTATAAGCTCATTTGAAAATAATAAGAGCCGAGTATCTTATCAGTTCTTAGCTTGAAAGCACTTTGAACTGGCGGTAGATTTGACATATAAGAGTCTGTAATAGACCTACATGAATTTTGATTTGATTTGAATGTTTATTTTTAAATCACTAACAGACTTTACTAAAGGTATACCCTAAAAATCTCCTAAGTCTCACCTATTTCAGCTGCCAAGCAGCTTGCTTAGTAAGCTGTATTTCGGTTTAAGGTTGCGATTAGACATTGAAATTCTAGGATAAGAGGCATATCTTAGTTCTCTGGAATGGAGAAACATGTTTGACAGGTGAGCTGCCAGTTTGTTTGTATTTTAATTAAACAAAAAATACCCTGAACAAGTTTTACTGCGTTATCTAATCCCAAACCAAGTAGATACTATACTATACTTGTACTATAGGTATTTTTAAATATACATAGAAAATACCGAGGCTAACACAAAAATGTCATAATTTTACTACAAATTATTATTTAGTTATTTTACTAAACTATTTTATAGCTCCTTTACAGCTTATGCTAAAAAATGCTGATCTACTCGCAGGATTTATAAAGAGGCAAATGGCCAACTCCTGCATGATGGATGTGAGTTTCTAGAGTGGATGAGATGGATGTGTCTTTCTAGTAATGATATTTACCTAAATCACTACCAACTAATGGTTCTAAGTAGTATAGCTCTGGATACAGTAAACGCAGCAGCACCATCACAAACGCAGTTGTTGATGATATCTGAAAATTAATGTAATGTGTTTTAACATTTCTTTTAACATTTTCTTACTTAATATCATTAAATAGTATAAAACAAAAGTCGCAGTCGCTGTCTGCCTGCACCTATTTATGCTTAAATGTTTAAAACTATGCAAAAGATTTTGAAGCAGTATCTTTTAATAGATAGACTAATTCAAGAGGAATGTTTATATATATAATACATGTACACCCATGCGAAGCTGGGTCGAGTAGCTAGTTTTATATAAAACTGTTTAAAAAGTAATACAGAATTACAGACTATAATGTTTTCAATTAACATGTATCATTCATTACATTGTCTTCATTATAAGTACAAGAACAATAGTAAAATATTTGTCAATAATTTAATGTTAATTAATTATAAAATTTATAATATGTTAATTTAAAAAAAAAGAGAGTATTATAAAAATTAAGAAAGAGATAATATTTTTTTCTGTCATTGAGTTTTAAGATAATTTTGAGCATGGTTGCAATATCTTTCTCAATCACTCAAGAACTTAAAAATGAAGTGATGAACAACATTTATTTAAAAGAACAACACAAGTTTCTGGCTCTATCTTCTTGTGATAAGTTGTTTTCTGAATGAGTGGTAAAATAAAAAAATATAACTATTCAAAAGTGCTTACATTAAGTTTATTTGAATAAAGATTATTTCTATTCTTATATAGTGCTATGTGAAAGTATTTTTTTCTTTTTATCCTGGTTTTTTATCCTGTACATTTTCACATTTAGAACACTCAAGTATCACTCAGAATAGTTTTTTTAATTACATATGTATTATTTATACATAATTATGTACAATTAAAAATATATATTATACATATGTAATTAAAAAAAATATTCTGTGTATAAGTCTTGTTATTTATATGTACAACATTCCCAAACTGGCAGGCAAATAATATGAAAAATCCATAAGTTGATGTTAACATTTATATTATTACTTGAAAGAAACATAGATAAATTGAAAATGAAGCTATAATAGAGCAGGAAGGTACAAAAAATATTTATCTAACCTTTTGAATAGCATAACAAAGCATATCATGTTATTAATATGATTTACTATAAAGAAATAGTATTATTGGTGTTGTATTATTGATAACACTAATTCAATTGTGAATACTTTTCACCTTGTCTTGTTTGCTCTGTACAAATAGTTCCAATCTTGTGTAATTTGATGAATATGAACTAATATTTGAATATATAGGCTTTACTAAGTTATTCATGGAAAATTACTGTTACATTTTATCAAACATTATGTTTCATATTAGTTCACATTGACCCTTATTTTTTTATCAAAATATGTTAGAAGAATTTTCCATTTTTCCATAAATCCTATTTTTTTATTACTACAATTTTATCTATTGAGTCTGTGTTGTTTGTGTAGAAATAATCGTTTCTGTTTTCTGGCGGTAATAATATTTCAAATAAAAAACGGTTGATAATGTATAAAATATTATCAACTGTTTTTTGTTAAAAAAAAGATTGGCACATATTTTGGTACTATGGTTGGCAGCATCCAATGTTCAATTAAAAAATAATTCTTTTACATTAGAGGGTAATTAAAAAAATAATTAAAAAGTTAAATATTATTGTTTTTTTTTTTAATATTATCATAGATTTTGAAGGCACTTCTTGTTATAATATGGCTGTATAGCTAAGCCATTACCTTCTAGCAAACTTTAAACAGTTTTGTACAAGTAATAAGCTAATTATTTACTTACGGAAAATACTGCGGCCACGACTCTAACGTAAACTTTAAGGTCTAACATAGGCATAGTTTTAGATTGTGTGGACATTTAGGTATGGTAGATAGTCCTTACAAATATTAAAGAACGATTACGAACGCACAAAATTCATTAATGGCACTGTCTAACCGTATTTACATTTAAAATCGATAAGTATTCTGATAGACATAAATGTTTAAAATATCATACGTCCGTCAGGGAACGTTTGTTTATATTTATAGAAAGAAATGTCATTGAATATCGGATATCCTATCAAATGTCAGTCACGTTTTGCTGATTGTCAATATGTCTGGAAATTGTTCGTTCATTGAAACAATACACAAAATAAATTCAAAATATATTTTCATTAACCGTGAATCAATACATATGATTGTTACATAAAATAATTATTTGTTATACATCAATTAGTGTCATTTCTATTAGAATATATTTACTTTATAGTGCTGCCATCTGTTCTCGCATAATTAAAAGAAGTGTTACGTTGGTAAACACAGAGAACACAGAGGGCAGTGGTAGTACATGTGAATATTGAGGTTTAGTTTTGGCGGCATATTCCAGACAAATGTCAAATATATAAGGCAGCAGGGCTTATATTTTTTTAGTAATTTTGTTTGAAAATAGAATAGCGCATCGGTATATGACGATAGATGAACTTGATGTCAAGTCTGTTATGTTAGTCCATTGCATTGAATTTAGTTAGAATTTCTTAGTCAAAACTCCGTCATTTAAAACCGAAAAAACTTATTTCATTTGAAAGGATTTAAGATTCGGATTTTGACGCATGAAAATATCATCAAAGTATGAATTATGATTTTATTACTAAACCTTATCTGTGCTAAAAAGTAGTACTCTATGTAATACTTTTTTTTATGGAAATGGAAAACATTGGAATGGTTCACCTGAAGTGATAACCGTCGCCTATACACATTATGTTATAATCTGACGCCCGCAATATCGCTTGTGCGTTGCCATTTTGGAGGACGAAGATGTCATGCCCCGTATGTTGCGATTTCACTGTTTAATGCAACTTACCATAGCTTACAAAGCATGCTGCCTGGCCACTGTTTAAAATAGGTGAGACTGAGATACCCAAGCCGACAGTAAAAAAAAAAAAAGTTAACAAAAATAAGATAAATTTTTCTCAGTCTATGAATCGAGTTTCTTGTACATTCTTAGTTAAATCTCAAATTAATTATACCATTCTAAATTAAATTTAATTCAATAAAAATTATTTCTATTTCTAATACAGACTCATTGTATGAAAAGTGGTAAATTAGTTACGGCTGACATTCGTCACTATGGTGACCAACTTATACGGTCCCGATTTCAGACCTTTCTATTCCGTGTCTCGACGGCAAGATCGGGGTTAAAAATGTCCCGATTTTTACCATAGTATATGTACATTTTTTTTAGTTATAAAAAACATATTTGTTGTCCTGTGTTTACAAATCACGATGCGAATTATATGGACAGAATGTATTGAGTAGAAGAACCTATTTCTGAACTTTCGTGTTTAGTACAAATTTTAGTTAAACGGTTTTTAACACAAATATAATGTCATTAAAGATATTTACCTCTCTCAACTTTTTGACTAGGTTGCATTAGCCGTGGTTACGAGCTGACTGACCGAGTCAGTCTCGAAACATCTCGAGGGGTAAATACCTTTATTTACCATAAAATTTTTCATGTTACAATCCGTTTAACTATATACTAGAAGAACCTAATTTGAGTAGCTTAGAAATACAGAACACGAACTCAATAGTGTTAAAAATATATATTAATAGTGTCTATTGATTTATCGTACGAAACAAAAACGCCGGAAAAGTTCGTCATCAAAATCCCAAAAAAATAAAAACTAAAGTTGGACAGCCAATCGTCAAATCCGCGACGCGACTCAAAGCATATCCAATAAATCCCAAAAATATAATGACTAAATTTGGTCAGCCTATTCGTCACATCCGCGACGCGACGCGAAGCAGATGTATGAATATTAATAATCAAAATGTCCGCACAATTAAAAACTGTTTTGCGGCTATCAGTCCCGCCTGTCAACAAATGTACAGCCAGAAATGCATTTCTTTAATTCATTTCGTTGCCATTCAAATTATTTTATGCCTTCGTTGTTTATATATTTAACTTTTGAATACGTAAATAGTATTTTCATTTCAATTTAAAAATGGCAATCGAAAAAATAAAATTGATTGTAGAGCTATATTTAAACGTAAAAAAAGGAGATACTCAGAGATTATTAATTTACATATCTTTTTCTAACAGTGAGATATGAAATTTATAATTACTTAATAAAAAAATAATTTAAAAAAATTAACACAATCTGGAGGAGAAAAATATAGTTTCTTGAAACTACATTCCCTTTTTTTTTATGAATGATCGGTATAGAATGACGGTTACGTAGGTATCTGGGTACTCGGCACAATCGCTACGATTGAACTAAAAAACTAAATTGCTAAATTCCACGACAGAAAAAAAAACGAAGAAACAAACTCCAACCATTATTCTTTACTCCAAATCAAATAATTTTCATAAACAACGATGAAAAATTTCAATTATTTATTTCTAGAAATGAACATTCTAATTTTAAATTTCAAAAATACAATCAGTGAAATTGAATAGGGATGGGGCGCTTTGTAACAGTCGAGGCACACGTTATCATTAGTCGTACATTCATTGGGCAACTACTAAATTCGATTAACTCGAGTTGGACCCGATTAATTCAATTATAGATTTACGAGATGTTGACTGTTATAAATTTAGTTGATTTGTTCATTGCATATTTTTATTATATATCGCTTGATTTACGGTTTGGTTACAACTGGTATATTTATGACAACAGTTTTATGAGTATTCAATTTTGATGAGTATTGAAATACTTTTATGGGATTAAAATTCTATTATCTATGTAAAAATTTCAATCAAGTGTGATTATTATTTGTATGTACTTGTGTATGTAACTTATAACTATAAGTAGTTAAATTTATAAATAAACATGAGTTTTAATAATTAAATTACATGAACATCAACATTTTGACTAAAGTAATAACACAATATTTAAGATTTTTTAATTGGAAAATTCAGTGTTGGTGCAAATAATAGGCAATTGACAAATTTGGTTATTGCTACCTAATAAAGTATTTTGTAATTAAAATTTAATACGGAATGTAAAACTAATGAAATACTAATCGAATAAATATTGAAATTAATCGATATTATACAATGCCATTGCTTCGATAACGTTCTTTTGTAAATTAAAAAGTAATGAAGAGATTTGAATAAAGTAGTTATTATTGTTTATTTTTTAATTCGACTAGTTTACATCTCTATTATCAGATAATTTATTATTATTTAAATTTCGATATATTTAAATAAATTGAGTATTATAATTATATTTCGTAGATATATAATGGTATAAACAATGTTTATTTATTACTGACCGTCGTGGACATTTGCGCAAATATTATCACAACTAAAATTGATATTAGACATGAGTGTTATTTTATATCTTTGACCACTTGTTATAAATTAAGTGATCACTTGCTTGGTCACTGCAATGGTCAGCTCGCTTTTGTGTTCACCCTCACCGCATTAATACTTATGTAGTAATTTGAACCTTATTGACTGGATATAGAACTATTAATTGTAACTTTTTGCATTGTGCAAGAAATAAAGGGCATTACCTACCATGGTCGGTATACAACTAATTGTTAAGCAATAAAGCGGTATGGTCATTCGATAACTTTGATGCCATCTATTTTATTTAATGATAATGGCGGTGAATGCGAAGGGAGGTTGTTTTGCTTATTATTTATTCTTATAAATACTATAGCTATATCGCGTGACGTTGCCCGCTGAATAGCAATCTGTGTTAAGTAGGTTATTCTCGTATAATGTATTTGTGTAATATAGGAGGTGATGAATTTAAAAATTCAATCTTCTTTTTATAATATTAGTATAGATCATGTTTTAAACCCATTTCAATATTAGGAACTATTAATAATACATTGTTTAAAATATCTATTAACCACGGCGAGAGGAAGTGTACAATTGTAATACTCAATTTGGTGCCAATATATCCACAAACAATTTCCCAATTTCTACGGGACTAAGTTCAGTCTGTCAGGCTGTTACCCATCTTCGAGAAAGAAGAAAAATGACAGGATAAACTTATGTTTTTAATATCATTACATTATGCAGCTAAATTAAAAGTTTATAATCAATATATGCAGTTTACTTTATCTTAATTGAAATCTTTTTTTATCAAGATTTAATTATGTTTTCGTGAAAGAAAAATACGTGTATAAATTGTGCAAAAATTGTATTACCTATATATAATTTTAATTATTTATATATATTAATAAATCAATTATACAAAATAACAGTAACGTTGTTGGTCTGTTCTCTGTGACAATAACATAACAGACCCCTATTAATAACAGATATCGTATACCAAATGTTTGCAGAAATAATTCAATTGGAAGCAATCGAGCTTGCTTTTTGGTTATTTATTATTAACAAATTAATCGAATATATACTTATAAAATACTCGTGTCACAACGTTAATTACTATACTCCTCCGAAATGGCTTGATTATTATGAAATTTTAAATGCATATTTAGTAGGTCTGAGAATTGGCTACTATCTATTTTTCATACCCCTAAGTGATAAGAGTTGTGCACCTATAACTTTTAATTTTTTTAAATTTGAACAAGTTTTCTTTTATAAAGTGGCATTAAAAATACATAAAACCCCAAATTTTCACCCTTCTACAATCAGTCCATATTTTTTAATAGCGATTTTAATGTATATGTCAAAACAACGTATACGGGCTCAACTAGTATATATATACTCATAACCATAGTAGCATAGGTAGACTATATATTTTTTATCTACAATCTTTTATTCGCAATTCGCAACGTCGACTGCGTGACCGGGACAAATTAACCTGGATAAAAAGTAGTTTATGACCCAAATACTACTTGTACCTATGTAAAATTTCTATAACAGACTTTAGATAGATATACAATAAAAAAATATATGTAAATTTAGCGCACATTGGTGTATAACGATAAAAAAAACGTATTTTTGTAATCACTACAATTTCGTTTGAAAGGAGTAGGAAATAGTGGAGATTCTTGTCGGTTCTTAAATTGGCTCAAACTACAGTCCAACACTAGG